CGGGAACCCCTTCAGTTTCAGGTTCCCCCAGGTTCTGGTCTGCACAGATATCATACTCCTGTAGGGCATGAATCAAACTTTCACAATTCTTGCCACCAACATCAATACCATTTACTTCACACTCAGCACATAACTCATTTTTGCTCATCCTCTTGTATTCAGCTAAACCAGGCATAATTGCAAGAAGAAAAGATAGAGCAGAAATAGGAAGGAGCTGTTGCTGTATGTCTGTTTATATAAAAAACAAAAATATGCACCGCTTGTCTCTAAGGACTGTTTCCACAAAGGTTACAATCCTTCAGTGCAGAACTAATTCCTAATGCTGCACTGAATGCTCTAATGCAGACCTATCCCACGTATGCTGCCAGCCAATATGTGATGAAATACGGTGTCCGACCCTTGTCCTTCTCACCAACTTATGACTGAAGGACCAGCCAATCTCGCACCGCGCTGTCACTTGTGTAACAATGCCACTCTCAGCTGCACCCTGCACAAAGATTTTCCAGCTCGCGGGACCAGCAGCCTAAGAGCGATTGTTACTGGGTTAGGTTAATTACGCAATTAACCCTTCACACTGCCACCACCACCATTTTACAGAGAAGGAGGAAACTCACAAATCTTAGCAGTAACAATATGATATTAGCATAAGGGTCTGCAACACACACTGTCACCACAGACAGGGATATCAGAAGATTATTACATATAGTAGCACTCTTCAAGAGACAGGGATTCTTTAGTTTGCATTAAAAGTTTTAGAGACAGTTTCAACTATTTTCAAAATAGGGTTTATTACTAAAAAGGTCAAAATGGTGCAATTAAAATATTTACAGAAAAAGATGTTACAAAGACATAAAGAGAACAATAAAGCAACAGAGAAATAAAATAAAGGAGTTAAGAAGGCAGAATACTTGCAAAGTCCTGGTTTAGCAGAGTCCAATGGTCCGAGCAAAAATGTTGCCTTGGCTCTCATGTCTGTTAGATCTTTCTTGATTGATGTTAAACGAGAGCTCCCTTCACCAGGCCTGTCAGTTCTTTTCTATGATATTAACCACTTCCCGACCGGCCGCTGCATATAAACGGCCGGACGGTGGCAGTGCAGGGTCGGGTGGCCGTTTATAAACAGCCTCCCCGCACCCTGCTTGTGCGCTACCTGGGAGCGCGCAGCACCGCGATCCGGTGCCCGCTGTGTCCTCCGGACACAGTGAAACACCGATCGTCAGACGGGACCTCTGTACGAGGTCCCAATCATGTGATCACTGATTGGCCAATCAGTGATCACATGCAAAGTAGTAAGCAAGATGTCACTTGTGACATCATTGCTTACTACGTGTGAAATCTGTGAATGATCACAGAGGTCACATGGTACAAGGCTATTCACAACAGCCTTGTACCATGTGACAAGCTGTGACCAAATCACAGCTCACTCAGTACTTCTCAATGAGTGCAGGAATGCAGACAGAGAGAAAGAGAAATGATTGCTTTTACATCCTATATAAGTGTAAAAGCAATCAGTGCGAAAAAAAACAAAAACAAAATCTTCATCAGCCCCCACATGTAGTACAGTGTCACCATGGTGACACTGTACTGCTAGGGTGACAGTTTGTAAAAAAATAAAAATAAATAAAAATTAATAAATATAAAAAAATAAAAAAAATGTTTAAAAATTATAATTTTTGGTTATAAATAGAGATGAGCGAATCGAACCTGGCGAAGTGGAATTCGTTTCGAATATCAGGAAAAATTCGATTCGCATCGAATCCGAATTTTAGCAAACTTCGGGTGCACGAATCGAATTTTTCCCGATCAGCCGGCAAAAGTGTCACTGCAGAGAGCTCCGCTATTTCTGACAGTTCTGACAGTTCATTTACAGCGGTTGAAACATTGTATCTATTTGTTTCCATTTAGGATACAGATGTTTTTATTCGGAAATAAATAGATACAATGTTTCAACCGCTGTAAATGTGAAGGAACTGTCAGAGAACTGTCAGAAATAGCGGAGCTCTCTGCAGATACACTTTTTGCTGTACTGGAATACTTATTCTTTTCATTCTTCTTCTTCTTTTCATTCTTCTTCTTCTTCTTTTCATTCTTCTTCTTCTTCTTTTCATTCTTCTTCTTTTCATTCTTCTTTTCATTCTTCTTCTTCTTCTTTTCATTCTTCTTTTCATTCTTCTTCTTCTTTTCATTCTTCTTCTTCTTCTTTTCATTCTTCTTCTTCTTCTTTTCATTCTTCTCATTCTTCTTTTCATTCTTCTTCTCATTGTTCTTTTCATTCTTCTTCTTTTCATTCTTCTCATTCTTCTTTTCATTCTTCTTCTCATTGTTCTTTTCATTCTTCTTCTTCTTTTCATTCTTCTTCTTCTTTTCATTCTTCTTCTTCTTCTTCTTTTCATTCTTCTTCTTCTTCTTTTCATTCTTCTTTTCATTCTTCTCATTCTTCTTTTCATTCTTCTTCTTCTTCTTTTCATTCTTCTTCTCAGTCTTCTTTTCATTCTTCTTCTTCTTCTTTTCATTCTTCTTCTTCTTCTTTTCATTCTTCTTCTTCTTTTCATTCTTCTTTTCATTCTTCTTCTTTTTCATTCTTCTCATTGTTCTTCTCATTCTTCTTTTCATTCTTCTTCTTCTTTTCATTCTTCTTTTCATTCTTCTCATTCTTCTTTTCATTCTTCTTCTCAGTCTTCTTTTCATTCTTCTTCTTCTTCTTTTCATTCTTCTTCTTCTTCTTTTCATTCTTTCTTCTTTTCATTCTTCTTCTTTTCATTCTTCTTTTCATTCTTCTTCTTCTTTTCATTCTTCTTGTTCTTCTTTTCATTATTCTTCTTCTTCTTTTTTCATTCTTCTTCTTCTTCTTCTTCGTCGTGCCCCGTGACTGCCCAAATGAGTGAAGTGTGCGGTGATTCTAAGATCTGCATGTCATACTGACTGACAGTATTAGTTCTCTTCCCCAGCAGACTCCAAGGGCATTTAAATTAAAGGTACAGTGTTCTGCACTAATATAAAGGCTCTCTGAAGCCTAGAAACCCTTTTAATAAGTTAAATTCGCGGCAAATAAATTCGCATCGAATTGAATTTCTCCCGCAAATTCGGCGAATCAGCCGAATCGAATTTTTGAATAATTCGCTCATCTCTAGTTATAAACTAATTTTTTTTTTTTTACTCAAAAGGTAAAGGAATAAATTTTGGCAAAGATTTATGATGAAATATTATTTATTTGCAAAATTTTATAAAAAAAAACACTTTTGTTCAAAATTTTTGGACTTTTTCATTTACATAGCAAAAAAAAATAAAAATCCCAGTGGTGAATAAATACCACCAAAATAAGCTTTATCTGTCTCAAAAAAAATTAATTTGGGTACAGTGTTGCATGACCGCGCAATTGTCATTCAAAGTGTGGTAGCGCTGAAAGCTGAAAATTGCCCTGGTCAGGAAGGGGGTAAAGTGTCCGGTCTGGAAGGGGTTAAAGGGGTGTTGCCTGAGAACAACTAACCACTCACACGGTTTAGGGAATGGGTTCTAGGTCACCAAGTTTATGACCAAGGCCCAACTACAATTTCATGCTAATATTAATAACTTCCAAGATGTGCAGGTGGTATTCTAGCAACTGGCAGATTAATATTCAGAATTGTATTTTAAACCCAGGGACACCAAACACAACGTACCCTTGTCACCCAGGAAGGAAGAGACTGCTTTCTTCCCTTTTCTATGTGCTAACATAGTCATGTATGACCTTGCTTGGCTCGGCATGAAATGATCTATGCACATATATACTTAAAATGAATGAGCCCAGTTCATGTTGGATGTTATGAACTGTATGTGAAATGTTTACATGTGAAATAGACGTTTTATGGCATGCTCTCCATTCCTAAGCACTAATGGCCTAACAGGTCATGTGTGACAGCTGGACTGAGTTATTGTTTTATGATAGGGCAGAGGAAGGTGTCTTTGCAAAACAGACATCCTGCCAAGACTAATTAGCGGTTTATAGCTCTGGAGCTGGCCTCTATTTGTGTTTTATTTACTATAAGAGGCTCTTTTGAAGTTTTGTTACAACTTACAGTTACAAATTCCATTTTCAAGAGCAGGGGAGAAAGACGATTGCTCATGAAAAACAAAATGGCTGAGACCTTAACAAGATATCTTTCGCGTACAGCTTTCCATGTCTCTATTTTCGCACAATCATTACACCCATCAGTGTCGTATATCAGTGCATCATCGGTGCCTCCTCGTCAGTGCAACCTCATCAGCGCCCATCACTGCAGCCGCATCAGCACACATCCATGAAGGAGAAAAATTACTTATTTGCAAAATTTTATAACAAAAACAAAGAAAATCCTCTTTTTTTTTTTTAAATGTTTGGTCTTTTTTTATTTGTTTAGCAAAAAAAAAAAAAAAAAAGTAGTGATCATATACCACCAAAAGAAAGCTACAGTGTTGCATGACCACGCAATTGTCATTCAATGTACAACAGTGCTTAAAGCTGGCCTTGGCAGGAAGCGGGTGAAAGTGCCGGTATTGAAGTGGTTAAGGCATCACTCAAGAATGTTATATCAAGAACTTAGACATTTCTATTGTTTTACTGTAAGAATTAATAAAAAAAAAAACTGTTCCTTGCTGAATGGAATTTTTGAAAATAAATATTGTATTGGTACATGCCCCAACCCCTCCCCGAAGGCAATGTCCAGATGCCCCCCATGCACTTTTTAAAAGATTTTCTTCCCCTTTACTTCACTGAGGTTTGGATTAACATTCAAAACATAGGATTCATTCAGCGCACCTCCTGTGACCTGAACTCAGGTGCATTCATTGATCCCTACACCCCTTTGTGAGATCTCTGATATGTGACAAGTTGTGATTTTTACTGAAAACATTTTCCACAATCACGGCAGAAATACAGCTTTTCCCTTGTGTCACTTATAGGATGTACAGGAAGACTGGACTTCCAAGAAAAGATATTCATCAACACTCAGGACAGGGATACGGCTTCTCTCCCTGTGTGAGATCTCCGATGTATAATAAGATTTGATTTACTTGTAAAACATTTTCCACATTCAGAGCAGGAATACGGCTTCTCCCCAGTGTGAGATCTCTGATGATTAACAAGGTCTGATTTCTGTGAAAAACATTTCCCACACTCAGGACAGGAATATGGCTTCTGCCCCGTGTGAAACCTCTGATGTCTGTAAAGACTGGACTTGTCTGAAAAACATTTCCCGCACTCAGGGCAGGGATATGGCTTCTCACCCGTGTGAGATCTCTGATGTTTAACAAGGTCTGATTTATTTGAAAAACATTTTCCGCACTCCGAACAGGAGAACGGCTTCTCCCCCGTGTGGGATCTCTGATGTCTAACGAGATTTGATTTCTTTGTAAAAGATTTCCCACACTCTGGGCAGGAATTTGGCTTCTCCCCCGTGTGAGATCTGCAATGTTTGACAAGTTCTGATTCATGAAGAAACCATTTCCCGCACTCAAAACAGGAATGAAGTGTCTCATCCATGTGAGATCTCTGATGTACAATAAGACTTAATTCAGAGCTAAAACCTTCCCCACAGTCAGGACAGGAAAATTCCTCCTCCCCCTGATTTCCGGCACCATCCCTCACAGTACAAGGTTGCTCGGAGTCAGAGGGATTTGATGGTCCATCCACACTGTAAAGTCCACCATCGATAGATAAGATCATTATCTTTTCTCCTGGAAAATCTCTTGTAATGTCCCCATCTTCCATTTTACAACCCGGAGATGAAGTGAGACGATTCTTTGAGTGTTTCTCCATGTAGTGTCCTGGAAAAAATATTTAAAAAATGAACAATAGATACAAAAAGGTTAGTTCACTAACTCATCAAGAATCCATCTGGATCAGTTAGACTCAGTGAGCAAATGTTCTCTGTGGATTTCCAAACCAGCTGAGGCTCTTGCCCCTTAAGTAAAAGGGTCATTGGTCCTCCTCCCAGATCCCTTCTACATTTCCCCAGCCTTGTCAGAAGAGCAGGAACCAACGGGGACTGAGAGGGGCATGCTCTTCACACAACCAGAAGCCTAGGCACTGAGTCACGTGATCTCTGATGATGAAGAGGTCCAAAGTTTAAATTTGTAGAGCCTTTAGTAGAGAACAAGAGACCATAGGAAGATTCCATCTGGATCAGGTAGGTATTAGTGAGCAGATGTTTTCTGTGGATGTCTCAACCAGCTGTGACTTCCCCTCTTCAGTAAAAGGTCCTTTAGTCCTCCCCCCAGATCACTTCTACATTTCCCCAGCCTTGTCAGAAGAGCAGGAACCAATGGGGACTGCGAGGGGCATGCTCTTCACACAACCACAAGACTAGGCACTGGGTCATGTGATCTCTGATAATGAAGAGGTTCAAAGTTCAGACTTGTAGAATCTTTAGCATCGAACAAGTGACCATAGGTCTAGGCTTCTGGTGGTATGCAGCACTGTAGGGTGCTGGGTTTTATATTTTTTATGTTAATGTTTAGGTAAAGGTCTATTCAAAAAAGACAGGCCAACCCAAGAATATCACAATCTGTGTCATAACTGTGAGACTGTAACTAGGAGTGAAGCAACGAATACTGCCAGCTGAACCCCAGAATCTGCACAAATCATGTGTGAATAGATACAGTATATAGTGTCTGTAGCCACTAGAAGGAAGTTATTCTGAAAGAAAAGAAGAAATAATGTGCAGGATGGTTACATGTGATTGGTTGATATCACTCATTCCCCGCCCTACACTGGGCCAATCAGTGTGCAGCAAAAGAGCAGAGATAACAGAAGAATATATTGTGGCTCACCTGTGCTGATCTCTGTAGGAGTGTCCTCCTCTTTGAATGTCCTCATCATTCCAGCCTCCTCCGTATATTGCTGATCATCCCTCACATACGTCTCTTCTACTTCACCCTCAACTTTCATCTTCATCAGATCTTCACCCTAAACCAACAGAATGGCAGAAATAACATCTGTAATATAGAAGGATTTATGATGTGAGATCACATAGAAAATATCATCTTGTAGAGTCCACACATCGTCTCCACATGTCAGAGAGTTCCATCACTTTATGTTCCAGACCCTCAACTCCACCGACCTGATGATGGTGAGGGATGGTGTGACCTTCCTGTGTGGAATCCCGGGAATACAGAGGATGGGGACACCTCTCTGGTGGGTTCCCATGACTGGATCCATCTACCTGATGATGGTGAGGGATGGTGTGACCTTCCTGTGTGGAATCCCGGGAATACAGAGGACAGGGACATCTCTTTGGTGGGTTCCTGGTACTAGGTGGCTCCATCATATCATATCTTTCTGATAATGCCTCCATCATTCCATACTCCTCATCCTCCTCTTTACACTCTTCTTTAACAATATTATAGAGGTTTCCATTCTGAATATATAATAAGCATCCATTGTAACAAACATGCTGTGTATAAATCAGACCTACCAATAATTGTCAGTCATCTACCTGATAATGGTGAGGGATGGTGTGACCTTCCTGTGTGGAATCCCGGAATAGAGAGGACGGGGACATCTCTCTGGTGGGTTCCTGTAGCTGAATGACTCCACCATGGTGTCCTGGCACAGATCTTTAGATACTTTTAAAAAGTCTGACTCCTCCATCATCCCATCTTCATCCTCTTTTAGCTCTTCTTTAACATCAACTTTAGATTCCTTCAGATTTCCACTCTGAATATATAAGTTAAAATTTAAATAAATTGAAACACTGCAGATAATGTACAGATCCTGACACACACAATGATACAGTCACCATCCAGACACATCCCTTGTCTGTTACTGGAGAATGTCTCAGAATTCCCGGCACCGCTCACCTCTCCTGTCAGCAGCTCCATCATCTTCTTGGTGACTTCTAGAATCTTCTGCATGTTGTGTCTCTCAGGTTTTAGGGAGTCACATGGAGGCACTGTGATGGTCATATGATCACCTGACTTCAGAAGAGGAAATCTCTGTATTGAGGAACCAATAGGAATATCATGTTAGAATCCCAGAATCCTCCTCACCTCTCCGGTCAGGTCTGTGTTTTATTAATAGAGATAAGAGTGATGTCATGTGACCTCCCAGAATCCTCCTCACCTCTCCGGTCAGGTCTGTGTTTTATTAATAGAGGTAAGAGTGATGTCATGTGACCTCCCAGAATCCTCCTCACCTCTCCGGTCAGGTCTGTGTTTTATTAATAGAGGTAAGAGTGATGTCATGTGACCTCCCAGAATCCTCCTCACCTCTCCGGTCAGGTCTGTGTTTTATTAATAGAGGTAAGAGTGATGTCATGTGACCTCCCAGAATCCTCCCCACCTCCCCGGTCAGGTCTGTGTTTTATTAATAGAGATAGGAGTGATGTCATGTGACCTCCCAGAATCCTCCCCACCTCCCCGGTCAGGTCTGTGTTTTATTAATAGAGATAGGAGTGATGTCATGTGACCTCCCAGAATCCTCCTCACCTCCCCGGTCAGGTCTGTGTTTTATTAATAGAGATAGGAGTGATGTCATGTGACCTCCCAGAATCCTCCTCACCTCTCCGGTCAGCAGGTAGATGATCTCCAGGGTGAGGTTTAGTATCTTCTCGGTCATGTGACTGCAGTCCTCCTCCATCTTCATTTGCGCCATCATGTGATCTATACTGGTTTCTCTGTAGACAGCAGATAATTATCTGGTGAGAAATTAGGAATCAGCATATGTAGGTTGGGTTACTTCATATTTGTTGGGTTTCTGGCACCCTGCACACCTCCTATATCCTGTCCTACCTGCCTGAACAAAAATTACATTTTCCAGGTAAAGTTTGTTTGGTCTCTGAACAATTTTTGCTCAGTTTGAGGAGGATCCTTCTTACACAGCTTTGCAGAGAACACGGGGAATACACAAATGCTTTAAGCGACAAGTTTGGGGGAAAACTTAAAGCTGTACATGGTGTACAGCAGGGGCGGACTGACAACTCATGGGGCCCCCGGGCAATAGGGGATCATAGGGCCCCTGTGTCCTTGCCCAAACTCAAAAAAGCCTATGAAAAAAGTACCAGGGGCATCTCATGGGGCCCCCTACTGACCCCGGGCCCTCGGGCAGTGCCCGAGTTTCCAAATGGTCAGTCCACCCCTGGTGTACAGGGACCAGCACAGTTTTCAGGGACACTTCGAGCAGCAGCAGTATACTTAGGCAGAGTGTACTTTGTCTGTGGAATTATTTTTGTTGTTTTACAATAAACTTTGCTTACTATAGCATCCCCCCAAACTACCAATAGTTGACTTTTTTCAGTAAAAAAAATGCTTTTTTCCAGGTAATTTAAGCACGGAGCTTTTTTTTTGTCACTTTGGACTGTATTCACCAGCAGAAATAGTAGCCCCAAAATAATTAAATTTTTGTAATATCAGAAAAATACAGGTTTATTCATATGAAGAGCTAACAGTCTTAAATGCAGAGTCAGGAGCTGTAGGCTTCCCAGCATACTGTATGTCCACAAGCCCAGAAGAGGGTTTGAGGGGTTGATTTACTCACATCTGGTGCAGCTGTGCATGGTAGCCAATCGGCTTCTAACTGCAGCTTTTCCAATTAAAGGATACGTTCACCTCTCCACAAAAAATAATGAATGCACATTTTTTTGCAGGTAAAAAAAATGTTCATTTATTATTTTTTGTAGTAGGAGCCTGTAAAGCATGGCAGTGAGTGGAGGAGGATGGATTCATGCTCTGACAGATCCCAGGCTGGAATTCCCCAGGCAATGGGGGGAGATAAAACTCTGTGACAGCAGACAGCCCAGACCCCACCCACACACAGAGAACACCTGAACTGAGTGATCCCACACAATGACAGATCCGACACAACACACCACCAACAACACCGAGCCTGGGTTCACATATGTGCGGCTCCTGTATGTGATTCGCATGGGATCCGCACCGCATTCCTGTGCAAATCACATGCGATTTGTGTGCGGTGCGATCGGAGCCATACATTTTCTATGGCACTAGTTGCACCCGCACCAAAGTGATGCAGGATTCTTTTTTGGGTCCGTACTAGAATCGGATCTCATAGATCCGACACACAGATCCGCAGGCAAAGAGCAGCCTGTGGGATCGTGATGATGTCATCACTCACTTACACGTTGCACATGTGATGGATGGCCGGCCGGGTCACACTCACACAGACACAGGACATCAGAGTCAGACATTACTTTCCTCCGCAGGTGCACCTCCACTGATGAATGGGAAGAGAAGGGCTGGAACTCCACAGTGATCAGCAGCCGCCAGCCGGCTTGCAGTAAGGGACTGAGTCTGAGAGGAACACTGGAAGGAGCGGCAGCTCAGCTGCTACACTGACACTAGACACCCGGCATCTTCCTCTGTCCTTTCTTCCTGCCCTATGCCGCTCCTCCCCTCAGCTGAAGGATCATCCTTGATGTGGAGGTGTCCCACACAGAGAGAGTGCTAGCTTGTGCTGAGCCCAGGTGCCCCTAGGTGGCAGTGCACCCTAGGTGGCTGCCTAGTGGAAGCACCGGCCTTGATTGT